AAAAAAAAGTTTGCAGTGTTTCCAAGTAAGGTTGAAACTTTATTACTAAGCAAAAATCTCACATACAAAAATTTCGTTTCAGTGGCACTTTAATACTTGTCTTGTATAACACCTCTTACCTGTGTAATAAGTCCCTTAAGAACTTGTCCATATTGAGCCTTGTCTTGTGTTACTTTACCAAGCTGTTTCACTGCTTCATCAAGTATACCCTACAGTAGAGGATAACATCAACAAGAAGCTATTGTCTGGAGGAAATACTTGTAACAGCAACTACCATAAATCATATTATTACTCATCTATGGCTAGTTGAATAGCTAATGGAAAGAATAACAAAATGAGTTCTAACATGGACAGTAAATCTTTCCAGTTCATCAATAGATTTGGTAAAAACATTCCAGTGGTGCCAAGTTTTTAAGTTTTTTAAAATATCTCACTAGTAATTTCTGTCATAATGTACCTCACTAATATTTTGTTTGATGGGCTAAAAAACATCTCATCATATATTTTCTGCTACCTTAATATGGTCATCCTGTGCCTTCAGAGTCTTCAGTCTGGACTGGTTCAACTGATTTGACCTCTGACTAAAATAATTAATACAATAATGTAATTAATATGAAGCAAAAGCTGTTAATGTACTGGTCTGACTAAAGCTGGCTCTGCTTACCATTCTAGATAGCATTTACAAAAAGCATACAGTGATGTTATTAGAAAAAGATTTCCTGTGTAACAAACGGCCTGTACAAACAGAGAAGGCTATCTCAGGAAAAACAAGCTGACCAAGATTTATGATTCTTCAAATGTCAACATTTCAAAAGTGATTATCAGATGAGAATACAAAGCTTTATTTTAAATAATTATTACAAACATTAATTATTGGACCCTACTTACATTTTCTTCTGTAGTTCAACTTGCTTTTCTTTCTTTTCAAAAAAGTTCATTATCTTAAGACGTTCCTGCTGTACAAGGCGACCTTTCTCAATATTGAACTCCTCCTCTGCCTGTTATGAGAAAAAATTCAAGTTGGAAAACTATACCTACACATAGAGTGCCTGGATGGAAGTGTTCTATTACGATAAATTGAAAACACAGGTCCAAGATCCCATGCTTCAAAACTTTATGGGTCCTGCACAAATAAGGTTACCACATGTAAATAAGTAACTTACTTAGTGTATGGCAAATTAGCTTTCAAAATGCTAACTCCTGACCAGTAAGTTCAAATGTACAGTGCAACCTGGTTAAGATGGACACCAAACAGACATGTATGCAAAAGTGTCTGTATTATCTGGGTGTCATTAGTAAGCAAACTGTCTGAACAATGTCACAGACATCATGCTTTATTGATGCAAAGACTAAAGCATGCAATTTAAAGTAACAAGAGCAATTTGTAACATTTTAACTGTAACTTAAGTTCAAGTGCAAGAAGCCTAATGCTTCTTCAAATGGTAAAATGTCTCACACCAAGGTTTACAAGGATCAAACACCAGTACAAAGACATTGACAAGAATTTCATTCTGTCACTCTACTGTAGTTAATAATGGCAAGAACAACATATCAACTCATGGAGAGGTTTCACTGTCAGAGAGTAAGACTAGCACATAAGCATAACATAATGCAAACAATATGGCCAGTGTCATTAGAGCGAGATTAATTCACTAATGGGTCACTGAAAGTCTCCATAGTCTGTATTAACTGGTGTCCATATTAGTCGGCTAATGTAAGAGAAAATTTATTAGCTTTTCATTAAGACAGTCATGACTGCATGTCCATAATAAGCAGGTGTCCATTAAGTGGAGGTTCCACTATAAAGAGAGAAGGACCAGTAAAAAAGGGTACATGAGTACAGAAGTGTCTTAAATTTGCTTTTCTTGTAAGATAAGGTGAGATTGTGTTATGCTGAACTTGAATTTCTTTGTGGATTTTTCTTTGAATAAATATTTTGATATATTACATCTCTGCTCTTTGAGAGGAGTAAAATGCCTTGCATCCTGAGGACACCAAAGGTTTGAATTCACAATTCTACATCTGAGCAAATTTCAATGCATTCATATGCACAAATGTTGTGTACATCCAATCTCTGTTAATAAAATATTCATAATACATTTTCAATTCCATTTCAGTTGTTACATATATTCATGCGAACACTTCAAACAATTCTTGTGAATAATCCTAACCATTTTCATGTGTTCGATTTACTCCAAGAACTATTGATTGATTGCATATGTGTAGGTAACCAGGGTTCTCCACAACCAGAGGGGTACAAGAATTATGTCTGGGCAATACCTACAGCTACCTTACTCTAAGAGAAAAACATTTTAAAAAAGCATTTTGTTCTAAGCTGTTTTTTTAAGAACTTCTTTTAGTCCTGCATTTATAATATTGTTAACCAAATAAATTTTATATTGTGTTGTTCTAGAAAATATCCATACCCCCTTATGGAAGGTTTTTTTAGCTTGAACCCCCCCCATCCCTCCAGAAATTCTGTTTTAGTGTCATACTTTCATTTAAAAAAGAGGGCTTTTGAAACCCCTCTCCCCCTTGGAATTTCTGTTAACTTTCCTTGGGGTATGGATATTTTCTGGAAATGCACATCACTAAAATAAGTGTGAATTGAATTTGATAGGTACTATACAAATGTTTCAATCATTATTTATATAATTAAGTTCACCCAGAGTGATTACATGGGAACATCCTCTTCATAAAAGTACTTTCTCTCCTTGAAGGTCGAGTCTTTTTACAGGAATATTGGCTGAAAAGCAGTTCAAGTTCCAAAGTATACCTAATGGTTCTCTTTAACTGATCCTGGAATTTTTAGTTGATATCTCAGTAAGTATTTGGAATGTGAAGTGTTTGGTTTTCAGTTTAAATCACCTGGGTGCCGCCATGTTTACTTTATCGTAATTTATGACATCATTGTGTGGTCAAAGATCTCAATATAGAGTCTACAGAAGAAGATTTCTCCTTGAAACTGAACATATTCATCTGCAAATGATTAGAAGCTCTTTAATATTTTTTATTCTAAGAACGCCCAACCGCCCATTGACGTCATAATTTCCCTTCAAGCTTTGTAAAAATAAACATGACTGCGCATGCAGAGATGCCAACCTGAAAAAATCAAAATCCGGGAGATCACCAATGTTACCTTTTTTGACTCTAAAAAATGTTGTTCAGAGTAAAGATCTTCAGATTAAATCTTAAAAATTCATCAAATAACAAAAATACTTTCCCCCAAAACACAAAAAATTGGCCGAAATATGTCAGAAAAATGTATTTTATGCACTTTTATTTGTTTTTTTCTGGGAGGTTTGGTGACTCGTACGGGAGAGCAGGAGATTTGGTCTGTATCCGGGAGACTCCCAGATAATCCGAGAGTTGGCATAGATGTGCATGGGAAATTTAAAACCCTAAAATAGCTGGAAGAAAATACCCAGCATTCAAAAGAGGCAAAGAATAATCAACTTCAAATAGCTGGAACAATTTAACACAGACATAAAAGAAGTTTTTAGTCAAAATTTCCTTTAAGTTTTCCAGGTTAATAAGAAATTCAGAAGAAACTCAAGCTACCCCACAACCTGATATGAAATATAGATTATTGGGGAAATTATATTAAAAAAAGTGAACTACCAGTACATCAGTATGAAACATTTGTACTTGAAGGACAGATGTCCATTTTCGTTTGTCACTTGCAGTGCAATGATGTACAACAAGCAATCAGTGCCGTGTGTGATAACACCCAACCCAGGCTACATTATCAAAGGCAATCCCAAGTGGCACAATTTTCTTCTGTAATTGAACACAATACAATACTGCTTTCTACTTTTTAAACAATAGACTGGACAGCAACTTCTTCAATCACTCTCCCCTATGAAGAGATGTCAATCACCTGACTGTCTAGTGACGTCATTATACCAAATTGTGAACACCAGGCAGGTATTCGAACTGGACTTCATAGAAAACCATAACAAGACACATTACTTATTTCTTTCTCATTTACCTTAGCATCAATCTCCTCCACTTTCTCCTTGGCTTCCTGCTCTATAAATGCCATCATATGTTCGATCTACAACACAACAACAGCTGAAGGTGTTTACGTCGAAACACGTTCGTATCAAATCAATTTTCGCTTTAGAAGATTATAAAGTTAAAGAAGAGATAGCAAGTGAAGTTAATACTAACTTGTTTCCGAACTTCTGCGTCGTTTAGAGACATTTTGTTTATTCTTTTTGCTAGAACGAACACGAAAATCTTCTGTCTTGAGGGAGCAAAGCTTGTGACCGAAGACAGGCTCCTGGTGCATACTGGGAAAACCTTGTGCTCGCTCGTTCCCAGGAATTGAGAAATGCCGATTTTACTGAAGTTGCTTGCAGTGTTGTTTGAGGGTCCTAACTACGAAATGAATGTTGAAAAGTTCCAATTCTTTTTACTTTAAAAAATATCGAGATTGCCGATTTGGATTTGGATGACCTTAACGGCCCACCAATATGGCGGTTCGAAGGATTCTTCCTACATCAGGAGCCATAATCGGGGACGGAGACCGTAAGTCTTGGGATCCGCGCGCACCTATGATATGGGACAATATCTATTAGATATGATTTGTAGACTCAGTACCGAACGGTTGGACTGACTATTCACAATAGCTGCCGTTTCTAACACCGTTTTGTATGGTTTCCTTGCTAGGCATGGGAATAAACCTGTTACTTATAAACCCAGAGAAAGCTATAAAACTTGCTGTAAACGACCAAATACGACAACTGTATGGTGGAAGAAGGTAACTTATCTGAAATATTGAATGATTCTAAGATTTATGCTGGGTTTGGCAAGATGTACGTAATCGATGCATGCATAGACAGCACTTGAACACTTGGAGACTTCCAGACATACTGACGAGCGCGATTAAAATCCATCAATTGATCTTAGTCTGGGATTGGGCTAAGTATATCACATGACCCAGCCATAACCTTGAGAAATACCTCGTGATGTGATTCCTTAATATATTTAGAAAGTTCCTTATTTCTTCGAAAATTCTCTTTATTTCTTAAACGAGAACAACAGATGACTATCGTCTCACAAGTAACCTAGTTTATTCTACAGAGGTTCCCTTGTCTTGCTTTACATGTACGCAGGTTGTGTTAATTGTTATACTGTAGTGCCTTTTGAATCTCCTTTAGTACTGTTCTTTGGCGCGTAGTGTCTCCAAACAGTCTGGCACCTTTCGTGAAGCTTGCCTTGTAACGTTTTTCACTTAAAAAACTAAATACAGAAGGGCAATGAAGTGATTTTGATTTTATTTCTCACAAACTTTCAGATGTAGACTACCCTTAACCAAAGAGATGATAGCCGGTGGAGCTGCCGGGTTTTGTCAGGTTGGTCATATTCACCAACAATAAAAAGTTGCCTTTAAGCAAGTTGTCTTTGTATTGTTGTTGGTTTAAAACCTTCATCAGTTTCACTGTTTTAGTAAATGTACCACTTTACTTTAAAGGTGATCATCACAACACCAATGGAAATGCTTAAAATACAGCTTCAAATGGCAGGGACACAAACCACAAGTAGGTCACACGTATACAGTGCAGTTCCTTCTCGTTTCGGCCGTTACAAACTCCAACACCCCGCTCAAACACCCCTTGCATAAGGGCAGAGCTTAAGGCTCCTCCAGTCCTTCACTGTTAAGGTCATCCACTTGAGATGACGTGCGTCTAAGTTTAGTACCGTGAGGTTGAGAAATGATTTAGTAATCCAGAAAGTTAGCAAGAGGAATTGTAGGATTTGCAAGCCAAGGAAACAGTCGTTACATTAATTTTTACGTAAAGATTAGCCGTTTTCTAGATAGCGAACCGCATTCTTCTCTCTTTTTCTCGTCTCTCCGCATTCTGGAGCGATAAGGGGAGAGATCCTGCGGTAGACCACGAACAGTATCTCTTCTACGTCAGTTCGCCTTCACAGCGACAAGCGGGAAAATTCCGCAGATAACTCAGGGAGAACATACAGACGCTCATAATCAACGACGTTGGTAACAAACAGTATTTTTGTTCTTCAGCGGGTCCGCGAATGCCTAATGCAGCTACTGCAGTGGCAGCTGCCAGTTCAAATCTAAGGACGTTTGGCACCAAGTCAGGTACAGCTCCGAAATCCGCCATGAAAATAGCACATGACCTGATGAGAAGCAAGGGGATCAGTGGCATTTACAAAGGACTTGGAGCCACATTAGCAAGGTATACCTATGAACGCTATCGTGATAATATTCCCGGCACCTGGTTTCTAAAAAAGAGTTAATTTGATTTGTAATCCGTGATTTGCAGGGCAAAGTTTTCCTGTTTTTATTCAATACTGATCGGTTTCATATTTTTCTGCAGGGACGTGCCATTTTCCTGCATCTACTTCCCTCTGTTTGCCTTTCTAAGGCTGGAGGTTTGTTACCAATTTTACACTTTGATCAGATGAAAACATTGTCAAAAAAGTCAAAAAAGTACGATCACATAACGCCTCTCTTCATAGAACTTCATTGGTTACCCACTCAAAAAGCATCTTTTCATGAGTGCTTACTACGGATGCTGATTTTTTGTTTCATAATGGTTTTACTTTTTTTTTTTTTACTTCGTAACTTTTTTTCACTTTTACTTACTTAGTCAATTTTAGGTAGTTTTGGTACGTTTATAGTTAATTTTTAGCGAATTTCTAAATCTGCAAAACGCTGTTGAACCACCGGGAAACAGCGCTATATAAGTGAATATAAGTGTTATTTTCAGACTCACTTCAAATGGCGTGTTAATGGTGTGAATGTTTAGTTTCAGGGAGAAGGAACACAGAATGACAACCCAGGTCCTCTGCAATGCTTGATAGCTGGCTGTACAGCTGGTGAGTCTCTAGTTATCAGTGAGAGCATTTTACGAGGGCAAACAGGGTCATGATACCCTGTACCCTAGTCCGGGACCGTGTTACGATTAGGTGATCATTTTCACAACTCAAGGTCGAGATCCTTGCCCAGAAGAACTCTTCTTTATCGTAATTTTCGAATCAATAATTTTGGTCATCTGAGTAAACGATGGCGACTGCGTGCCAACGGCCTTTGATAGAGCCACCACAGTAAATAAATCCTTATCCAAGATACGAGTTAGCTGATCGTGTAAATCACAAATAACGCTGTGAACAAAAACTAAGAACCTAGATCGGAAAACGAGTACGAAGTGCCTATGCGTTCAATTATCACGTTTCACACAAACGTACTATCGATAGACCTCTATCCAACTAGTCAGCAACCGGGAGGAGTAAGGAAGGACTCGGGAACGGATTGAAATTCGAAAGTCGTACTCGTACCTGATCTAGTACTGCTGTCTATTCACAAGAAAAGGGAGCCTATCAAAATAAGCGAGTCAGTCAGAACTGCACTTTCTAATTTAACCCAAAATAAGTACCCTGTACCAGGCGCTCCGTTAGTCAGGGAGCAGCGAGAAAACGGACAGAGAGAAAACGCGACGCAGTGGGTTTTGTCCTTTGGTCCAAGCTACATCCCCCCCTCCAAATTGTGATTTTTCAATGAATTACTCCATTACCTAAACATACCAGAAACTTGTGTCTGTTAAGGGTGGAGTTAAAAAAAATATCCACCCTCAAGGTTGCGACAATTTATACTGATTCAATTAAAATCCATTCTGATTATCCAGCAATGGTCGGAAGTGCCGCCGTCACACCAATGGATGTTGTGAAGACAAGACTCCAGGTGATAAGAAGCGGAGGCGAAGCAGCCTACAATGGCCTGCTGGACTGTGCTCGTAAAACTTACGTAAACGAAGGAATAAGGGCTTTCTATAAAGGAACAGTGCCTAGAATGATAGTGATCGCCCCTCTGTTTGGAATTGCACAGACGGTTTACTTCCTGGGAGTGGCCGAGAGATTACTAGGACTTGAAGTGGGCGGGATATGACGAGATGAGAGACCAATACTCAGTACCAGAGACAAGCTGAGTGGGGTCGGGAACGCCCACCACCACGCTTGCGAAATATACGGGTTTGACAATGCATAATTACCACGAAATAGATCAAATCGTTTTGTGTTAAATTTATCGAAAAGATATGACGAAATTCGACTCTGCAAATATTTATTATGTACAGTGTTATTCGTTGTTTGAGGACTTTCAAACAAAGAAACAAATCTTTTTTCTCAAATTGTAAATAATGGTGGAGATATGTAACTGGTTTACTTACAACTGGGAGGATGAGCCAAAAACTAAAGAGTTGTAAACCACTCAGCTAGAAATACGATAGAAATACGATAGAGCTACGATAGAACATCACAAGAATGAATAAAGTTCAACCCCTTGAGCAATGATGTTCTTAAATAATAAACAAAGGTTATCTTATCTTGAAGTTCTTGGTCGTTTCTTATTCTAGGGAGTTAGCGTCTCTAAGTCAGCGATATGGATGCATAGTAACAGAATAGAATGGGAGAATGACAATGACGATAAACTCTCCCGCCAAAGGTGTCTGGTTTTTAATGACACTTCTTTGTCAGTCACTTACAAAACTGATACCACTGGGATTGCCTGAGATTTTTCAACCAAAGCATCTGTTGAAATTGGGCTTGTCCGGGCGTACCAGTGGTCGAGGGAAGCTAACATATGGTAAAACATAAACAAACAAAGAGCAACGAAACCGAACCAAAAAGAGTGAAATGCTACGAGTTTAGCTACCAAATTTAAACATGCCGCTTTGAAAACGTATTTTGCAATGTCTAAACCTAAAATAGAGATTTAGTGAGAGATCTGAAAAAGTTTGAGAGTAGGTCGACCTTCCTTTCTACAGATCTTCTTACACAATCAAATAAACCTACTCAAATCGAGAATGATCATGCAAGTTAGCAGCTGACGCACATATGCACGCCCTTCCTGAAAGGCAAACGTGACGTGTAGGTGCGATTATAGGGCTGTGAATTTCAGTGGCAGTTTTAGTGTTAAATCTGACAAGTTAGTGACAGGAAAGCCAGGGTGTTACAACCCCGGACAGAACTAGTTTAGAGATAAATCGGAAAAGTATCTACATTTTTCTGCTACGCTGACTTAAATCCAAAGCGCTGCTCAATGATTAGTAGTTATCTCGCTTCCTTTAGCACAAGAGTTCTGTGCGTTGGTTTTCAGTCCACAACAACATTGAATGGGGTTTGGGATTCGGAAGGGAGGTGACGTGGTTTGATTGCATCATAGTGTCGCACACAACACTGACAAAACTGTCCCGACAGTTTCGTCCANTGGCGGGAACACAGACCTACATTGCTCTCGCCGGTTCGATTACTTTTCAGTCCTCAGTGCGGGAAAGTTAAATCGTTTTATGGAAAAACCACACAGGTAAGTTCAACAGTTTGCTTAATTTCAAGAAATAACAAAGATTCTCTCAGAAGGCACAGAAGGAAACGCTGTACTTTCTCAAATAAAAAATTAATTGCGCAAGGCGAGTATCAGAAAAATTTGGTCACCATATCGATCAAGCAAGCTTATACTTCACTTTCTCCGGCACTCAACGTACCACATCAGGAAAAAAGGAGTGTAAGATGCTTTTTCTCTTTTCAGAGACGGTTGGACACAAAATTCAGGATCTTGATTTAAGCTAAACCTTGCATGCAACTGGGATTAAAGTCAGGGATCAAAAGTTTAAGACTTATTCACTGGCTTCACAAAACCATCCGAAAACAAAGCCCATGAAAACAATAAGTTTACGTTTGATTAACATTTCCTTTCTGTATTTTAAGTTTTTCAAGTTTCTTTGGCGTAGTAGCTTGTCAAGGGGACAAACTGAGGCATATGAATTATTAATCGAGTCAAAGAGTATTTAGCCTCAAGAATCGAGAGAAATTCACACCGACATGTTTTGAAGCGGAAAATCAAAGTCGATAGCTTGTGTTCTTTGGCAAGTTTACAATGAGATGGAGAAAAGTAGGACGCTGTTCCAGGCCATTGGAGCAGAAAAACCCAAACTGAGTGTAATCGTAGAGTTCTGAATTCAATCTACTCTACAGATTTGTCATTGCCACTGAATACGATTTTAATTAAATCGTTTCAGGAGGGAAAGAAACTTTTGTAAGCTTATAACCAAAACAGTAATTTACTTGTTATTCTATAAAGTATTAATTAGGTTTGCTCCAACTGAAAAGTAAAAGTTTACTTAATTATAAAGTTATTTTTGGAATCACTCAATGCATGGGCTTTCCATTGACAGTGTTTGAGTTATTTGAGGTAAACAACATAACACTCTTTTAATTTTATGTCAGTATATTATTTGCCGCTGCAATTAACAAAGAAGGTCAGATACAACCAATAAAAATTTCCGTGTTCTTTTCAAGCTCAAATGCCGGTTTTGTTAGCTAAAACACGAAACTGTCATCGGCATAGTTTGGAAGTCTAATGTATCCAGCAGAAATAAAAAATTCTGAGATTGACTTCTAGGATTTTCGAGGAGCTTATTGTGAAAATTTAAAACGCCCATAGATTTAGCTATCTTGTATTTCGGAGATATGTGAGCGTATATCTACAAAATTATTGTTGCTAAACTGCACAGATAGCATCGTAGTAATTTTTTTTGTTTTAGCTTTTTAGCCAAACTTGTCAATGGCGCTATTGCTGGAGTGGTGGGAGTTACCTGTACTTTTCCGTTGGACCTTTGTAAAACAAGACTGCAGGATCAGAGAAATCTTGGAGCTCAAAAACACTACAGAAACTTGTAAGTCGACATTTTTACAGTTGAATTATAGATCGCAGTTTTGGCAGCCACTGAAGATGGCTCATGATCCGAATTATTTTAAACTAGGGTGTTTTCACGTATTCAGCAGTAGCATGGTAAATTTATTGTCAGGCTTACCTTCTTGTCGAAAGTGAAATTCGAGATGGATGGAAACTAGACCATATAAAATAATGGCGATTGTGCCTTCAGTAGTCAGCAGAGGGAGGGCTTCAAAAGATCAGTGCACAGTACCATGCAACGAGAGTAGTGGGTGTTAGTGGTAAAATAGGGGGGAGGTGTTGCGTATCATCTTCGACCGTCAACGCACATGATTTTAGTGCACTTGTAAAGGGTGAAAACCCAATGGATAACTGAAAAGGCAACCTTCAAATGAACTGAGAATGCGGCGACAGGTCAGCGCTCCTTCAGGCGCTTATATGGTTCACCGCATTAATCGAACACTGCTTTAACGTTGAGTTAAACTATTGTTTATTGTTTCCTTTTTTAGAGCGGACTGTTTATGGAAAGTAGCAAGAGCAGAAGGAGTACAGGGCTTATACAAAGGTAAAGAGTCCAGGTACTATTAGTGTTTGAAAAGTCTCAACAATTCCGGGTCAAACTGAACCGTTCCAAGACCACATGTGGAAAGGACAGCCTGCGTGCTTTATAAGCAACTTACTGCAATTGTATCCAAAATCGCCTCCAGACCACTTAAATATCCAAAAAAACCGTTCTTATAGTCTATACAGCACCGAGGACGTGGTACAGTTGATAGGATACCTCGTGGGATCATGGACTCTACTTGAGTCCACTGCAAAAGCTAAATGGGCGGTTGCTAAAGGTTATCCAGGTTCATTCAAATTTACCGGACCATCGGAATATAGACCAATTGATTATAATTAATACTTTTAAATCTGAAGAATTGAGTTTTCTGGAAGAAATTAATTCCAAATAAGAACTCACCACCAACATCAAACTACATATCTATTAGATATGATTTGTAGACTCAGTACCGAACGGTTGGACTGACTATTCACAATAGCTGCCGTTTCTAACACCGTTTTGTATGGTTTCCTTGCTAGGCATGGGAATAAACCTGTTACTTATAAACCCAGAGAAAGCTATAAAACTTGCTGTAAACGACCAAATACGACAACTGTATGGTGGAAGAAGGTAACTTATCTGAAATATTGAATGATTCTAAGATTTATGCTGGGTTTGGCAAGATGTACGTAATCGATGCATGCATAGACAGCACTTGAACACTTGGAGACTTCCAGACATACTGACGAGCGCGATTAAAATCCATCAATTGATCTTAGTCTGGGATTGGGCTAAGTATATCACATGACCCAGCCATAACCTTGAGAAATACCTCGTGATGTGATTCCTTAATATATTTAGAAAGTTCCTTATTTCTTCGAAAATTCTCTTTATTTCTTAAACGAGAACAACAGATGACTATCGTCTCACAAGTAACCTAGTTTATTCTACAGAGGTTCCCTTGTCTTGCTTTACATGTACGCAGGTTGTGTTAATTGTTATACTGTAGTGCCTTTTGAATCTCCTTTAGTACTGTTCTTTGGCGCGTAGTGTCTCCAAACAGTCTGGCACCTTTCGTGAAGCTTGCCTTGTAACGTTTTTCACTTAAAAAACTAAATACAGAAGGGCAATGAAGTGATTTTGATTTTATTTCTCACAAACTTTCAGATGTAGACTACCCTTAACCAAAGAGATGATAGCCGGTGGAGCTGCCGGGTTTTGTCAGGTTGGTCATATTCACCAACAATAAAAAGTTGCCTTTAAGCAAGTTGTCTTTGTATTGTTGTTGGTTTAAAACCTTCATCAGTTTCACTGTTTTAGTAAATGTACCACTTTACTTTAAAGGTGATCATCACAACACCAATGGAAATGCTTAAAATACAGCTTCAAATGGCAGGGACACAAACCACAAGTAGGTCACACGTATACAGTGCAGTTCCTTCTCGTTTCGGCCGTTACAAACTCCAACACCCCGCTCAAACACCCCTTGCATAAGGGCAGAGCTTAAGGCTCCTCCAGTCCTTCACTGTTAAGGTCATCCACTTGAGATGACGTGCGTCTAAGTTTAGTACCGTGAGGTTGAGAAATGATTTAGTAATCCAGAAAGTTAGCAAGAGGAATTGTAGGATTTGCAAGCCAAGGAAACAGTCGTTACATTAATTTTTACGTAAAGATTAGCCGTTTTCTAGATAGCGAACCGCATTCTTCTCTCTTTTTCTCGTCTCTCCGCATTCTGGAGCGATAAGGGGAGAGATCCTGCGGTAGACCACGAACAGTATCTCTTCTACGTCAGTTCGCCTTCACAGCGACAAGCGGGAAAATTCCGCAGATAACTCAGGGAGAACATACAGACGCTCATAATCAACGACGTTGGTAACAAACAGTATTTTTGTTCTTCAGCGGGTCCGCGAATGCCTAATGCAGCTACTGCAGTGGCAGCTGCCAGTTCAAATCTAAGGACGTTTGGCACCAAGTCAGGTACAGCTCCGAAATCCGCCATGAAAATAGCACATGACCTGATGAGAAGCAAGGGGATCAGTGGCATTTACAAAGGACTTGGAGCCACATTAGCAAGGTATACCTATGAACGCTATCGTGATAATATTCCCGGCACCTGGTTTCTAAAAAAGAGTTAATTTGATTTGTAATCCGTGATTTGCAGGGCAAAGTTTTCCTGTTTTTATTCAATACTGATCGGTTTCATATTTTTCTGCAGGGACGTGCCATTTTCCTGCATCTACTTCCCTCTGTTTGCCTTTCTAAGGCTGGAGGTTTGTTACCAATTTTACACTTTGATCAGATGAAAACATTGTCAAAAAAGTCAAAAAAGTACGATCACATAACGCCTCTCTTCATAGAACTTCATTGGTTACCCACTCAAAAAGCATCTTTTCATGAGTGCTTACTACGGATGCTGATTTTTTGTTTCATAATGGTTTTACTTTTTTTTTTTTTACTTCGTAACTTTTTTTCACTTTTACTTACTTAGTCAATTTTAGGTAGTTTTGGTACGTTTATAGTTAATTTTTAGCGAATTTCTAAATCTGCAAAACGCTGTTGAACCACCGGGAAACAGCGCTATATAAGTGAATATAAGTGTTATTTTCAGACTCACTTCAAATGGCGTGTTAATGGTGTGAATGTTTAGTTTCAGGGAGAAGGAACACAGAATGACAACCCAGGTCCTCTGCAATGCTTGATAGCTGGCTGTACAGCTGGTGAGTCTCTAGTTATCAGTGAGAGCATTTTACGAGGGCAAACAGGGTCATGATACCCTGTACCCTAGTCCGGGACCGTGTTACGATTAGGTGATCATTTTCACAACTCAAGGTCGAGATCCTTGCCCAGAAGAACTCTTCTTTATCGTAATTTTCGAATCAATAATTTTGGTCATCTGAGTAAACGATGGCGACTGCGTGCCAACGGCCTTTGATAGAGCCACCACAGTAAATAAATCCTTATCCAAGATACGAGTTAGCTGATCGTGTAAATCACAAATAACGCTGTGAACAAAAACTAAGAACCTAGATCGGAAAACGAGTACGAAGTGCCTATGCGTTCAATTATCACGTTTCACACAAACGTACTATCGATAGACCTCTATCCAACTAGTCAGCAACCGGGAGGAGTAAGGAAGGACTCGGGAACGGATTGAAATTCGAAAGTCGTACTCGTACCTGATCTAGTACTGCTGTCTATTCACAAGAAAAGGGAACCTATCAAAATAAGCGAGTCAGTGAGAACTGCACTTTCTAATATAACCCAAAATAAGTACCCTGTACCAGGCGCTCCGTTAGTCAAGGAGCAGCGAGAAAACGGACAGACAGAAAACGCGACGCAGTGGGTTTTGTCCTTTGGTCCAAGCTACATCCCCCCTCCAAATTGTGTTTTTTCAATGAATTACTCCATTACCTAAACATACCAGAAACTTGTGTCTGTTAAGGGTGGAGTTTAAAAAATATCCACCCTCAAGGTTGCGACAATTTATACTGATTCAATTAAAATCCATTCTAATTATCCAGCAATGGTCGGAAGTGCCGCCGTCACACCAATGGATGTTGTGAAGACAAGACTCCAGGTGATAAGAAGCGGAGGCGAAGCAGCCTACAATGGCCTGCTGGACTGTGCTCGTAAAACTTACGTAAACGAAGGAATAAGGGCTTTCTATAAAGGAACAGTGCCTAGAATGATAGTGATCGCCCCTCTGTTTGGAATTGCACAGACGGTTTACTTCCTGGGAGTGGCCGAGAGATTACTAGGACTTGAAGTGGGCGGGATATGACGAGATGAGAGACCAATACTCAGTACCAGAGACAAGCTGAGTGGGGTCGGGAACGCCCACCACCACGCTTGCGAAAAAAAAAAAAAAAAAAAAAAAAAAAAGGGCAAGGATTGTTAAATATTGGAAAGAATGAGAGGCATTATGAAAGACCAATTTGAAGCACTTAGGCTACATCCGTAGCGTTGGTCCTTGAAAGTGATTCACTTAATTACATTAGGCGTGGGCAAAACTTCAAATTGCATCTCGTTGCCAAGATCACAAACGTATGTCTGCAAAAATGTTCCAAAGAGAAAAGCTCTCTAATCATCATCTGCACAAATAGGACAATTTACTGAAAAAAATTCATTTCTAAGAACTTATTTGACAAGTCTGATGCGGTCAGTTAAGCAGGGTTTCTTAAAGTTTCTTCCTTACAGGGGAACTATTAATAATGGCCGTGTGCTGCCGGAACAAAACCTGTCAAATTACACAAAGTGTTTGAACTGGCTCTTCAAATATAACCAATTAATTGAAGGTATGTAAGCGGTAAGTTGACTTTGGGTGATAAAGCCTCTAGAAAACAAACCCAAAATTTTCAACGAACGTTTTGGATATTAAAAGCGTTCACTGACTCTTCTTCAGATAAATTGATTTAAAGAATTCTTTTGCCAGTTTTGAAACTTGACAAGAGCAGGTGTGGCATATTGCATTACTGGTTTCCCATTGGCAATTACCTGACATTTTAGCTCGTTGAACAAACAGCCAGGTAATGTAATTTCCCTGTATTGACCAGATGAAATTGTTTCTATCGGAAACTCTACTCCCTCGAAGCAAGTAACAGGTAAGAAATAAAAAATTAGCCGAAAGTGCTTGTTCGTGGTAAGTTTCGACACCCTAATGTTGCGTTTAGACAGTTATATGCATGATTCAGTAGTCATTGTAAGTGTTATTGAAAGAGCCAACGCCATTCAAAAATTATTCAGTATTATGGATGAAAGGATCGAAAAGCGTTTACTAAACGGGTTTTAAGTTGATCCTTCTGAATAGGGACGAGTTTAACATCGGGTTGCCCGCTTTTCCTTATTTCACAAAACTCAACTCTTTTCCGACTGACGCGACTAAGTAATCTTTTTCAAGTACGGTCATTTATTCTAAGTTGCATTACAGTCATCAATGGCGCGGTGTCTGTACCATCGACAAACGTATGTGTTTACACTAACTCTTACGTTTTATCAGACCAGTTGGGTTATCATTGCTGGTAAATTCGTTCCCGGCTACTGTCTCCCATAGCCTTTTACAAAGTTAACATTTTCATTTGTCATTCGCCTTTTCCGCATCATTACTAAAGAAGTGTAAATTTGATTCAATTTTTTCTCGTTTCATTCGCCATTTCCACGTCCCCCATTAAACACCTTGTTTGCCCCTCAAAATTTTGCATAAGCCTTGTCTTCAGTTTCTCATGGGTCCACTGTAATACCCAGGAGAAATGGGAAACAAAGGTTATGCAGAATTTTGGGGGGCAAACAAGGTGTATTATGGGGCATGTGGAAATGGCGAATTGTTTTCTTGTCTTTTTGTTTTTTTCGATCTTACTATTTGAACAATTTCATAAGAGAAAAAGAAACACTCGGCTGCGATATGGTAAATTGTTTATTTCAGAACTCAAAGGGAAAGAAAGCTTAGTCCTTCCAGGTAGATGGTAATTTTCACCTCAGATTTTATAACTTTTTCTTGCTCAGTTCTTCCATTTATGGGCAGAATATTATTCTCAAGGAGTTGTGAGAAAATGAGTCTTCGTGCACAGCTTAGAATTTAAATCAAACTATTTGAGTAAGACTGGTCTACATTTGTTCGTCCTAGTATTCCCCTCACTATCAAGGATTTTGCGTGGACAATCCGGACGTTTTCATGGTCTTTCATTAGAGCCTCAGTTCCGACCTTATATAGGAACATCTATGTTGAGCTGTGGTCAAATTTTCTCCAATTTCAGACCATCAGAAGCTGAACTTAAATATCCGTAGTTTAGGTTTTCTAATTTGGAAAAAAAGATTGATGTTGCTATGAATCCATCCGAAACACATTCAAATTAAACATGTGAACCAGCTTAAAAATGCTGGCTCGAGAGTTTAGGATTTCAATAAAGGTTGACCCTTTTTATGTTGTGTCACCGTCTGGTTAAAATGCGTATGTGCATATATGAGAAAGTATTAAAAAAAGATCAATAAGATCAGTAATTTATCAAAAACAGCTAGGTATATAAGTAAGTGATGTGATGTGATATTAAGATCACTAAAAACAAACTAATTATGCAATCCCTTGCAGTGGGTTCCAGATTCTTCTTCTAACTTGATAATGGCTTTGCTTCAGAGGCCATGGCTCTTGTTGTTGTCGCTGGTGCTCGTTGCCGGTCAAGAGCCTGAGATTATTGTACTTAAAGGTAAAAAAAACCCACCAGTGTCTGTAAATGTATAAACTATGGCTATAATTGAAACATAGGAGGTGAGGAGGTGCAATGGTTAGAGCGTAGATCCAGGTTAGAATTAAGGCTCTGTTGTGGGGTTGATTGTGTAGTTACCTTGAGCAAGACACTTTGCACTCATTACATAAAGCTCTCACAGTGCCTCTCTCGATCTGCCCAGGAGTAGAAATGGATACCATGTAAATTGTTGAGGTAACATGAGAAAAATTAGAGGCCTAACCTGCACAATGGACTAGCATTCCACGCAGGGTTAGAAGAAATACTCCTAATGGCTTCATGCTAGAGAAACTAGAGATGACCTCTGGCACGGGACTTCCCTTTAAATATATCTTATATTTTGATAAAAGATATATTTAAAGATATATTTATAAATATGTTATTTATAAATATATTAGATATATCTATAAGCTTTTCATATTTAAGAACCATTTTTTTTTCCATTCTGACTCTTCCCCTTTCTTCCTTCCTTCGTCATCTCCACCCTGACTCTCCTCTATCAGTTTTTTTCCCTCCCTCAATTGTAGGGACTTCACTACATCTACATTAAAAGACGCAAAGTTTTGAAAGTAGGAATTCTTCCAACCTGGTTTGTGATGTCGGAGGTTACATTAAAATGGAAAGAGATCTTTCACTGATAAAGTCACTGGAGGATAAAACACTGAAGAACTTATAACAAACCTTCAGCAAACAATACTGGCTAACAGTGAGGAACTTAATTATTTATGGTGCAACATTGATGATCTAAATTCCCTCTGAACATTTTTACATTTCCATCAGGCGAACGTTTTCTTGCAAGAAGACGGGACAGCAGCTACTCTTACGGTAACGTGACGGAGGATAGAGAATTCACATTTCTGCTCAAATTCGACAGTGGAGATACAACGGAGTACAGCTATGAGGATAAAACAGCAGTTACACCCGACTCTATACCGGCTTGGATTAACATAGGTGATCACGTTCTCGCGGTGTCACCCGCTGCAAGTGCGAGCGAGCAATACCTTGTTGGCTTTGTATCTGATGATTTATGTCGAGGACAAGACAAGGAGTATTATGAGGTTACTTTGGACCGCGATCACCAAGTCGGCAACTATACGATCGATAAGCTACGAAAGCTGCCTTTCTTCTCCTCAGTTCATCAAGGTATTAATTTCATTGTATGCTACTGAAAGAACTAGTTTCAACTGAGTGTGGTAAAACTAAAACCAAAACATTTGTAACGGCCAATTATAGGGGACGTAGACAACACAATCAACCAATCACAATTCTATATATATTTAAGTGACCCGCGCCAAGAGCGGGAAAAATGACTGAGACCAAATCGCGATTGGGTTTCGTTTTGTTTCTCATTGGTTGAATAGAGCGGTTTTCATTCGAGTGTCGTGAAACCAAAAACCATCATCATCATCTTTACTTTCTCTCCTTGTGGAGAATGGGGCCATGAATCCTTCTCCTTCAAGCAACTCGGTCTTTTGCCGCTACTTCTGCTTCCCTCCGAGATGTTCTCTCTCTTTGTTGACTGTTTTTCGCCACGTCTCTCAGTCTTGGCCGTCCTCTTCGACGTTTGCCTTCAGATGCCAAAAACCAAACCAAAACCAAACCAAAGTAATTGCCTGATTAACAACGCTCAAAAAAACGAACAGAAAAGTTCTAAAACCCTCAAACCCTCGTTAGCATAGGGAAAAATATTGTCAAAAAATGGTTTTCCTTGTACTAAGGGTCGCATGGCATTGTGGGTAAATGTACAGACGCCATCTTTTTTCCTACGGAGGATTGAAGACCACTCTAGGTGGCGTTAGTCTTTTTTTTTTTTTAAACGAGTCACAGGTTATTGTGAAAGCAAAATCAAAGCAATTACGAATCACCTAAAGTAATTAAAAATTATCTCGGCTAAAGATCCTGTTTTTCAATCATTTTTCAGTCGGAGCTCGTGTTTTTGCTCGAGGAAATGACAATCTCTACCATCGCGGTTTCGTGAAAAGAACAGGTTACCATGGCGATACGCTTTACATTGAGGTGCAACTGGACCAATCAGGATCCATTTCGCATCAAGCTAGCGACCAAAGAGCCATTGTCCTGGACATAATCCCAAAGTACAGTCACGTGCATGCAACGCAGCGTGTGATTGGTTACTATCCCGGATACTCAAGTTACCTCCCTGGAACAGTACTTAGACGGAATACAGGCTGCTTGAAATCAGCTTACCATGTTCAGTTTGACATGGGACAACAACGCGAGCAAGATTTTAATGACATTCGAATTCTACCACCACCTGTACAATTTCTATTGTTTCCCTGAAGTGGATCTTTAGCGTGACTTTTAAAAAAAAAATTTACTGGGGCGGGAGACAAATGGATGATACCTAAGCACAAGACAATTATATTACAGCAGTTTTTAAAGGACGAATGAGGTTTATTTTGGTGTAAAGATAACTTACACCTAAGTCGTAGTCCTTAATACCCTAAATAACATTGTAATTTCAAGTTCCATTTTCAGTCTTCTGAACTTAAACGGGGGTAAATTAAACAGTTTTTAAACGAGGAATGAGGTTTATTTTGGTGTATAGATAACTTACTCCTATGTCGTGGTCCTAAATACTCTAAATAACATTGTAATTTCAAGTTCCATTTTCAGTCTTCTGAACTTAAACGAGGGTAAATTAAACAGTTTTTAAACGAGGAATCAAAGGTTTATTTTGGTG